CAGAACTGCAAAAAAAATGGCACATTTTGAAATATGGTGTGCCAAGTTCGCAAAAGTAACAAATAGAATATTGTGTTATACCAGAATAATATTTATAGTCAACAAATAGAATATTGTGTTGTACCAGAATAATATTTTTTTTTACAGAGATTTTTGCTTTTAATTTCGTTTTTAATCTTCTCAGGTTTACTGGCATATGTGTGTACGTTTGGATACGTTCATTATTTTTTTCTAATTTCAAAATTGTCGACACACAAGCATATAATGAACATTACTATGAATAAATATTCGTCACAAAATTCTAAGAGAGAAATCTTATCATATGTATATATGCGTGTATGTGTGTGTATGCTTGATAGTTTCCACTTAAAAGTAAAATTTTCTTCTTCAGATTTCTCAAAAAAAAACTCGTCCCTGAAGAAGTTAATTAATGTAGGAACCGAACTGATTAATGTTTCCGACTTGATATCTCGCGTAGGGAACTACTTTTGCGCGTGTGGCACATTTTGATAATGTAAGACCAAAAGCGTGTATTCGATCGAGCTGTTACAATTACCGAATATATATATATACAGTTTCAGTTTTGTAGTATAAATATATTCCAGTCGCGCGGTACAGCATATTATTGATATATCATTACTGTTGCATTATTCGGCAAAAATTATCTCCGCATTGTCGCCCGCTTGCGCTTGCCGAGTGTACCTTTTGTTATTTCGCGCTTGCCACATTAATCTGACGAGTAATTTTCCTCCAAAATCAGTTCTTTGATTTCGACTTTCAAAACTTTCTGGACGCGAAGTGAGAGGCATGCTCTCGTGAACGCTGTGTACGTCCGATAATACTGCTCGACAAATTTCGATTGTTTTTGCCATACAAGTGCAAATAGTCCGAGCCGCTAAACAGGAATTTATTGTCCAAATTTGGCTATTACAGTTTTATAACATCACAGTTTCGGAAAAATTAGGTGAAAGAGGCAAAATTAACGATTTAGAGGGATTTCGTGTTGCAGTAACGACAGAAATAATTTTTCTTAAATTTTATCAATGACGTGAAAATATAAACTCTAAATTTGTGCTTGAGTTTGTTGTAAAGTGTGCAAAGTTGTTTATATTTATATAATATAATCAGGAAATATTAAATAAAAGCAAAAAGAAAATATAGAAATTTCGTTTTAATATTGATGAAAAAAAAAAAAGAAAAAGAATTCCTGTCACGCTGCTACAACATCATGAAATCCCTTAAAATCCTTTTCGATCCTTGTTACATTTTGCTCGAAACTGTGATGGGTAGTGTCGAAATAGTGTCGAACAGTGTAATTAGTATCTACACTGAGGGAAAAATTATTTTAAAATCAACAAATATTTCTCTCTCTCTCTCTTTGATGAGTAACATATTTATTTAAATCTAAATTCTCTTTATTTAAACCAAATATTGTTTACTTAAATCAAGTAAACAATATTTGATTTAAATAAAGAGAACTTAGATTTAAATAAATATGTTACCCGTCAAAAAAATATTTGTTGATTTTAAGATAATTTTTCCCTCAGTGTAGCACAATGAGAAAATGAGAAAGCGTCGATTACTTACCCGCGGCTCATCCTTCAGCGCCTTGTGATGCGTCTCGCTGATGGTGAGGGACCTCTTGTGCAGTCGCTTGTGGGAGAAGAGGTAATAATTCTTGAGCGCGCCGATCTGCAACCGAAAAATAAACCGTTCTTATTGCCTCGGCTTGTGCGGTCGGGGAAGCGAGGTGCCGCAGGGTCGTAGACGTAAACACGAGAAGGCAAGAGCGCGGGTTAGTTCGCAAGTTTTCCTTTTCGCGACCCTTTCGATAGCGTTTCGATGGTCTTGTGACTCAATATCGTTTCGACTGAAGTTCGCCAGTAACTTCCGAAGTGCCGTTCTTAAAGTGCATGACGAAGACAGAAAGAAAAGGAGAGAGAGAGGGAGAGAGAGAGAGAAAGAGAGAGAGAATCCGCTAAATCCACGTCCACATTTATCGCTGTGTTTTCCGCAGACTGACAAATGTTATCTGACTGACTGACGAAATCGCTGACACTTTGATCGTGACAGATGACATCATCATCATCGTGAACTGCCAGAAGTGATTCTTTTCAGTAAAACGTCCAGAGTCGAGATTTTCACCCTACTTTCGACCTTAATGTTTTATTTAACGACTACTTTGATACTCCGAAGCTTATATGAACCTCTTTTGATTCTAGTTAACCTATTAGCTTTGCCAGCAGGTTCTCTATAGAATCTACAAGTGGCATTTTGTGCATTTTCTGCCACTTAGAGACGTTAAGGAGAACTTCAGTTTCCGTGTGCATTAAACATACGTTGATCGTTCAAAGTATACAGATATTAGAAAGTTCAAGTCCAAAGTAGAGCTGAAATTTTGACACGAGCATAGTCTACTACTTGAAACTTGTCTTAAGTGAGATACTCAAATTCTGAAATTCAGAATTATCGTCGAAATTTTGATTCTATTTTCGACCTCAATATCCCATTTAACGTCTACCTTAATGCTCTGAAGCCTATATGACTCTCTTTTAATTCTATTTAATCTACCAGCTTTGTCAAGATGTTCTCTTTATAATCCACAAATGACATTCTGTGTGTTTTTTGAGGCGTTAAGAAGAACTCCAGCTACCATATGCATTAAACATACATTGATCACTCAGAGTATACAGATATTAGTAAGTTCAGATCGAAAATAGAGTTGAAATTTCGAGATCGACATTTTGATAATCCTCTCACCGGGACTCAATGCGCAAATTCGCACAATAATGCGTTTAACATGGATTTGTGTAAATAACATTTCGGGTGTCAATCGCGGCTTTTAGCGGTCGGTTTTTTAGCGGCAGCTTGTCGATTGCATCACAACGTCAAAGGTGTGTTTTCGTATTTAGCGATCTCCGCTAGAACATTAATGAACGACATGCACGCGCTACGATGCTGGCTACCAATTTTGGAAGTTTAACGTGATCCATTAGGGATAATTGGCAGCTTATTGGACGCTGGGTGATTATAATTGTATCTATATGTACATAGCACGCGCCGCGGGAACGGCGACGTTTCGCTTTTGCGGTCGATGGAAATGATTGTCGATAATTCTGGGCGCAGCGAGAGAGTGCACGCTCCAATAGCGCGACGCATAACCGGAATAACTAACAAACCATTACGATCAACGATCTGATACGTTCTTGGCGCTCTGATTCGATTACTCTTTTCACATTTCTTTAAAACCACCATCAGAACAGTCAAATTTATAGCGGCAGGATCTCGTATATTTAAGTTAAAAAGCGGGAAGATATCGTTCATTTAAGGTAAAAGTACTAATGTTGGCACACATCAATGTAATCTTGTACAATGTTATTGTTTTGTTTTTAAATGTGAGTATCCAAACTTGCAACTTAGGATATATGTTTACATTTAATATATGTATATATATTTTTTTATGTTGAAAGTTAAATTAAAGAAATAAGTTAAAAACAATAAGGATTGGGTACGTGTGTCCAGTTGCTTTTACCTTATTAATTGTAACATTCTATCGTCTGATATAATATAAGAGAGACAACGTTATTTAAATTCCGGAGTGTGTGACGTCAGATATGCGTTACCCGCATAGAAATTACTCAAGAATTTCCCAGAAGCGCGGCACAGATTCCAATCGGAATGCCCACAATTGTCCCGAAATGGTTATCCTATCGCGATACAAACTCGGAATTTCTTATTAATTTAATCTCACTAATTTAATCTTGTTCATTCTCTGTCTGGAACGGCAAGGAAAATCCTAATTAGATCCCACGATATTTTCTATGTGAGCATTCCGGTGTACCTCCACGCACGAGAGACGAAATCGTGCGGGCGCGGCTCTGTCGAAATGGCGGTTCTCGTCGACAAACTTCTCTTAACAGGAACGCTAAAAATCAGACGAAACTGTGTCGCAAAGGCTACCCGGAGAAACGAGGAAGTGCAGGAACACTTGCCGAAGGCGTTTTTGCGCCGCCGGTGCGTTACACGTGTCGCCTACTTGAAATTCCTCCACGGCGCCTTCCACGAGCCGCGGTGGAATTGAGGAGCAGCCCGCGAGGAACTCGGACCTCCAAGAAAAAAAAGAGGAGGGAAGGAAAAATAGATAAGAAACAAAACAAAGAGGGGCTAAAAAAGCGCGCGCTTTATTTCGCCATCGCCCCGAATTTTCGCGGCGAGCTCGAGACAACTACTTCGGGCTTTCTCGAGGATGTAAGTAGCCGAAGAGTAGCGAAGTGCATCGCCCGCTTCTCTCAATCTCGAGTTATCTTTCGCGCGAAGGAGAATTACTCGCCCCAGTTCTCTCGCTTCGGCTATTTTTATCTCTTCAGGAACAACGATATATGTCGTGCGAGTTTATTTTACCTGAAAAACCGTTAACCCCTCTTCCCCCCTCCTCCTCTTCTTCATCTTTCTCCCCGCGATAAAGTAAAATTCAGGATACCACCACGGTGTCGCGCTTCTCCATGGTAATATCGTATTCTGAATTCTCTTTAGGCAGAATTTTCGATACGATCTCAGCGATTAATATTAATTTCCCCACTGATTTTGAATAGCCTTAACGCAGTTTCGTTTAACGGAATGGAATTTAATTTAATGGGATTTTATTCTGACAAACGCGTATTCACCCTTTCATCTCGTGAAAGGCTCGACAGCGAGCGCAATCTCACCCGTTGCGGTCGCGATCAGGAATATTCCAGTCATTTCAGCGGGTATATATCGGCCCTCGATCGCAAAGGAGTTAAGGCGAATCGATCCCCGCCGAACTTATCAAAAGCACCATTTACCTAACAGAGTGAGGAACGGGGATCCTATCCGCGACGGAGGAGAACGGAAAGGTTAAATTGTACGTATCGTCGAAGCTGCCATCACCATCAGCCGGCGTACATTTCCAGCGGATCGTACGAGCGGCGTTCTTCTATCGCTAACCAAGAGCGATAGAGACACGTGCATACAGGGTGTCTTCGCGGAAAAACTTCTCGAATACAGGATGAATCCTGATCGAGGGGAAAGCTCGATAAAATTCGGTCGAATTAGACTAGACAAAGAGGGAAAAGATGCAGCGTAAGAACATCGCGAATTGTTCGACACCTTCGCGCAGGTGTAGGCAATACGAGAGCAATCGAAGGATCTCGCTCGCGGGGCTGCCCTGTTTCGGGCCACCCCGTACAGACGAAAGGGAGACGAGGGGTGGGACGCGAGACTATCGCTAGCCCGGGATATCCCGCGAGCCGTGATGGAGCATGCTTCGTCGGTTTCACTACAGGCGCCGCAACTCGGCCCGGCACGATGCCGGAAGATCCGTTCGCATATTTCCGTATTCCGCCGGCAATTTTACGTGCAACTTGCACGCTCCGCCCGAAGACGCAAATTTCACGGCGGGTCAAGGCCCTCGCCCGAGGGCTTCCTTCTTCGTAGCGCGGTCCGACGGCGTCCGCCCAAAATTCCCGGTCGACCATGCGGAATTTTGATAATACTCCGGTGCACGCGATTATTTCGCGAGTCTGGTAACCGAGGCGTCGTCGCCCAGCTATGTTAACCCTAAACTCGCCGATATATCCTGTGAACGGGGCTTCCTGTGTTCAGCCTCGCGCATCGCAAACTGCAGCAGGCCGTCGCGCATCGCAAACTGGCTCGTAATTGAAAAGTTTTGCACGACGGCCGAGCAACGGTGCGAGATGATGCGAGCCGATTTCGGGAGAGGTGTGTAAATGTAATTTGCGCAAATCTCTCTCGAGCAAGGAACGCTACCAGCGTTGCACGAGTGTGACGGCGATCATCTTTCTTTACACATATGAAAAAAAAAGATTGCAATGCAAATTAAGATTGCATGTCATCTTACGTTTTTCGTACGGCTGGACTACTGTACTGACATTTTGTAGTATCAGTTATATAAAGTAGTAAATTCAACGATATCCATCTGGTATATAATGCAAAAAAGACTTTTCTAGTAGTTACAATAATTTTATTGAAATTAAATAAATTTATTAAAATTAATTTATAGAATTAAAAAGATAGAATTTAGAAAGATATTTAAATCAAAATCGAATTTGTTTTTAGTAGTAGAAAGTCGAACGTATGTAACATTTTGAAATAAATATATAACAGGATGTTCCATCTTCGCAAAGTTTTCCTTAATCATCTATAATTAATATCTCGATTATTATTGCGGATATCGCAAAACGATATGGGACTTTTATATTCACGTCAATCCGTTCTACGTTCCTGCAAACATTGCGAAGACGAGATACTGAATAATAATTTCGGTCACAATTGGGTACGGTCCAAGATCACCAAAAAAAGTTTTGTTATAATTTTCACTGCGATATTTTTTCCGCGTAAATAAGTTTGTTTTAAATTAACAAAAAATGCAATAAAGGACGATAAGAGTCGGTTACAAGTTTAATCAATTTAAATTTAATTAATATAAATTTATTAAACTGTACAGATATAAATTATTTAATTATCGAAACGTTTCGCGATCGTATATTGCGATCACACTTGGCTGCTTGATTTTAATCAAAGAGTCTCGCGCAGTTTTTCTCATTTTTACTTGAAGTTTATTTTACACAATTCTTCGTAAAAATTATGGAAGGTGGTCTCTGCGGGGAACTTTCTGCGAACAAGCCATGGTAGCGGACGTGTTAAGAACTCTC